CATGCTAGAGGGTGGGAAATTAATCTGACAAAAATTCAGGTGCCTTCCACCTCAGTGAAATTTCTACAGGTCCACTGGTATGGGGCATGTTGAGATACTTCTAAAGTGAAGCCTAAGTTATTGCATCTGGTCTCACCCACAACTAAAAAGGAGGCACAATGCATAGTGAGCCTCTTTGGATTTTGGAGGCAACGTATCCCTCATTTGGGTGTAGTACTCTGGCCTATTTATCAAGTGACTAGAAAGCTGCTAGTTTTGAGTGGGGCCTAGACTAACAGAAAGCTCTGAAACAGGTTCAGGCTGCCGTGCAAGCCACTCTGCCACTTGGGCCATATGATCCGGCTGATCCAACGGTGCTTTAAGTGTCAGTGGCAGATAGAGATGCTGTTTGGAGTCTTTGGCAGGCCCCTATTGGTGAATCACAGCACAGACCCTTAGAATTTTGGAGCAAGGCCCTGCCGTCCTCTGCAAATAACTATTCTCCTTTTAGCTTTTGGCTTGTTACCAGGCCTTAACAGAAACTGTACATTTGACCATGGGGCACCAAATCACCATGAGGCCTGAGCTGCCTATCATGAACTGGGTGTTGTCTGACCCAAAGAGCCATAACACTGGATGTGCACCACAGCACTCCATCATTAAATGGCAATTGTATTTACAAGGTCAGGCCCAAGCAGGACCTAAAGGCACAAGTAGCATGAGGAAGTGGCCCAAATGCCCATGGTCTCCACTCCTGTCACATTACCTCCCATTACCTATGGCCTCATGGGGAGTTCCTTATGATGAGTTGATGAAGGAAGAGAAAAATCATGCTGGATTACAGATGGTTCTGCATGTTACGCAGGCACCACTTGAAAGTGGACAGTGGCAGCACTACAGCCCCTTTCTGGGACCTCCCTGAAGGACAGTGGTGAAGGGAAATCCTCCCAATGGCCAGAACTTCGAGCAATTCACCTGGCTGTTCACTTTGCTTCAAAGGAGAAATGGCCAGATGTGCAACTGTATACTGATTCATGGGCTGTGGCCAATGGTTTGACTAGATGGTCAGGGACTTGGAAGGAACTTGATTGGAAAATTGGAGATAAGGAGGTATGTGGATAGACTTCTCTGAATGGGCCAAAGAAGTGAAGATATTTGCGTCTCATGTGAATGCTCATCAAAGGGTGACCTGAGCAGAGGATTTTATTAAGTGAATAGGATTATGTGTTCTGTGGAAACCAATCATCCTCTTTCCCCAGCCACTCCTGTCATTGACCAACGGGTTCATGAACAAAGTGGCCATGGTGGCAGTGATGGAGGTTATGCATGGTCTCGGCAACATGGATTTCCACTCACAAAGGCCAACTTGGCTACAGCCACTGCTGAGTGCCCAATCTGCCAGCAGCACAGACCAACACTGAGTCCCTGATATGGCACCATCCTGGTGGCAGGTTGATTACATTGCACCATTTCCATCACGGAAAGGGCAGTGTTTTGTTCTTACTGCAATAGACACTCTGGAATCAGATGTGCCTTCCCTGCACGCAATGCTTCTGCCAAAACTATCATCCGTGGACTTACAGAATGCCTTATCCACCGTCACGGTATCCCACACAGCATTGCCTCAGATCAAGGGACTCACTTCACAGCAAATGAAGTGCAGCAGTGGGCCCATGCTCATGGAATTCACTGGTCTTACCATGTTCCCCATCATCCTGAAGCAGCTGGCTTGATAGAACAATGGAATGGCCTTCTAAAGACACAATTACGGCACCAGCTAGGTGGCAATACCTTGCAGGGTTGGGGCAATGTCCTCTAGGAGGCTGTATATGCTCTAAATCAGTGTCCAATATATGGTGCTGTTTCTCCAACAGCCAGGAGTCATGGGTCCAGGAATCATGGAGTGGAAATGGGACTGGCACCACTCACTATTACTCCTAGTGACCCACTCACAAAGTTTTTGCTTCCTATCCTCTTGACCCTATGCATTGCAGGTCTAGAGGTCTTAGTTCCAAAGGGAGGAATACTCCCACCTGGAGAGACATCACTGATTTCACTGAAGTAGAAGTTAACAATGCCATCTAGCCACTTTGGGCTCCTTATGTCTCTGGATCAATAGGCAGAGTTACCATACTGGCTGGTGTGATTGATCCTAATTACCAAGAGGAAATTGGATTGATACTACGTAATGGAGGTAAAGAAGAGTATGTCTGGAATGCAGGCGGTCCCTTAGCACATCTCTTAGTACTACTATGCACTGTGATTAAAGTCAATGGAAAACTACAGCAACCCAATTCTTACATGACTACTAATGGCCCTGACCCTTCAGGAATGAAGGTTTGGGTCACCCACCAGGCAAAGAATCACAATCAGCTGAGGGGCTTGCAGAGTGTAAAGGCAGTGGAAGAAGATAGTTCTAAATACCAGTGATGGCCATGTGATCAGTTCAGAAAACAGGACTACTGTTGTTATGAATATTCCTTCCTTGTATGTGTGCATCCAATATTTTTGTTTTCTTCACTTACACAATATAAGATGTGAACAGGACAGGGCTAGTGCATTTTCAGTTGTATGTGTGTTGTATCATGTTAGGTGCCAAGTATGACTTTGTAATTGTATTTAGAGACTGTGTATTGTTTGAGATGTGTATAGGTGCTAAGTTGACAAGGGGTGGACTGTGATGGTTAATGGTTAAGGCTGTGTCAAACTGGCTGGGCCATGATTCTCTGTGGTTTGGCAGTTATGTAATTATTTAATCTGGCAGTTATGTAATGATGTAATCACTTTCGTGATGTGATCTGATGTCATCAGCCAATCAGTTTTAAGGGGAATTTCCTTTGGGGTGAAGCCTGTACCTAATATATATGGACGGTCTGGCAAAGCTCGCTGGCTTTTGCTCCCTCTGAATCTCACATATGGCTCATCATCATCTGACTTCTGGTTCTTGGACTTGAGTCTATGACCTGAGTATTGCCTTGGATCTTAGGATTCGTTGGCCTCTGCAGCCTGTGAGCCAGCAGGCTGCCATCTGACCTGCTGATTTTGGGTTCTTTAGCCTCTGCAGCTACGTGAGTCAGGAGAAGCCTGACGCCTTACCCACGGATTTGGTACTTGCCAGTCTCTACAACCATGTGAGCCATTTCCTTGAGATAAATTTCTCTATTTATATATGCTTCACAGGTTTTGCTTCTCTAGAGAACCCAGCTTCAGACACTAGGGTAAAATAAATAATGAAAAACTGCTATCGTAGTACAAACTCAAATGTTCTCCTTTTAATAATGTATGTTTGGTCACCAAATGTGACTATCTGTAAACATAAAAATAAAGACAGCTTTGTTCTTTGACAGCTTCAGAAGTAGGAACTTTGGCTTTTTATTCCTTTTAATGGTAGCTGACTATTTTCTTCTCATGATGCATTCACCCTGGATCTGTATTACTTCAGCTCCCCAGAGATACAGTGAAAAGAGTCCTCAATTAGAAAACATCTCCTAATTTTACAGTTTAAAAGTTAATACTTTAAAAGAAACACTCCCTTAATTCCACAACCTCTATTCCCATCATGAATATTCTGGTTTAATAAAGCCTATAAATAAATTTGTTCTTTCTTCTCAAAAAACACTTAGGAAACTTTACAAGAATTACTGGTTTAAAAAATTTAGCTAGAAAAATTAAGGAACCAGTCATTTAACCCCTATTACTAGATGGTGCTCAAGTATTCGAGTCTCAAGGCCAGTACAGGAGCATCCCTTAGTTGTTCCTTAGCGCGCTGGCAAAGAGTCTTCTCAATCACTCTTTTCTTCTCCTTGATAATGTCTGTATTCTGGCTTCAGCTCCCATGTGTTTTTGTGGGTCCCTTTTACATTTTGAATACCAATTTCTCTTAAGATTTCCTTCAGGTACATCTAAAAAAACAAAAAGAAAACCCCCAAAAGATAAGATTATGAAGGCAGGAAATACAACTTAAAATAAAAATGATATGGTAAAGGACATTCATGAGTGCTAAAAATTATGATCCTGAAAGCTCAACAAGATTTCTCTACAAACATGTTCAATACGCTGCCTTTTGATCCTACACATGCAATCCATGATTAAATATGTGATAATTTGCATCAAAGGGGTTGAAGTCCTGAAGGCCAACAACTGTAGAGCTTAAAAAAGAGTCTAGATGAAAATACACTTGAAAATTACCAGTGTTTAACGTTGACCAATATGATACAGCATACTAAGTATGTTCCACCCTTGGTATGTATGGCATTCAAGGATATAGTTCACAATCAGATAGGGTTATTCTGATTTTAGGAGCAATAGTGTATTGTTATGGATTGAACTGTGTCCCCCGAAGACATGTGTTGTAAATCCTAACCCCTATACCTGCAGATAAGAAGCCCTGGTGGTGCAATGATTAAACACTTGGCTGCTAGCCAAAAGGTTGGCAATTTGAACCCACCAGTGGCTCTGCAGGAGAAGAGACCTGGCAATCTGCTCCTGTAAATATTATATCCTTGTAAACCCTATAGGGGCAGCTCCACTCTGTCCTATTGGGTTTCTATGAGAGGGTATCAACTTGATGGCACACAACAGCATACCTGTGGATGTAATCCCATTTGGGAAAAGGGTTTTCTTTGTTATGTTAATTAGGCCATATCAGTGTGGAGTGTGTCTAAAGCTAGTCACTTTTTAGAGATAAAAAGATCAGATTAGGCACAGGAACAATGAAGCAAAGATGGGAGAAGACAGATGCCAGGCCACACGAGGGTCACCAAGAATGAGGAGCTGAAGCTGAAGAGACAAGGACCTTCAGGGAGAAAGCCAACAGAGAGAAAGCCTTCCCCTAGAGCTGGTGACCTGAATTCGGATTTCTACTGTCCTAAACTGTGAGAAAAGAAATTTCTGCTTGTTAAATCCACTCATGTGTGGTATTGCTGTTAAAGCAGCACTAAGAAACTAACACACATATAAGAAAAGACAAATATTTTTTGGGAAGATATATTCTCTGAACCAAGCAAATAACAGGTATCCAGAATTCTCAGTTCCCAGGTGGGTTCTCAAACTTCCTAAAATGCCACTATTTTTCCTGTGTAATAAGGAAGATTATTATTTGTGCTGTCCAAGCTTGCCGAGACAGCATGAGAGGAAAGAAATGATAACAAGGTGAGCTAAGAACCATGGGGGCTGCAGCTTTTTCATGCCTGGCTCTTCCAAGGGAAATAGGTGAGTCGTGATGTGGGACAGAACTCTACTGTGGTATTGTAGGTCCCTGATAATTCAATAGACAGATTTTACCAAATGATTGCTATATTCACAGAAATGATGGCTATAGAATATTAAACTCCACCTTTGCTTGCCAATGTGCAAGGCCAAAAAGCATTCCACTATAAATTGACTAATATAAATTACAGTCCTTCCCCTTCTTGGAGAGAAAAGTTAATTACTGAGAAACGATTTTCTTGCTGCAGAACAAACCAATTCAATAATTTTGGTGAGTGTGCTTCAATTTAAAGACCGGTTACAGTACTAGAGTGACTCATCCCAACCAAAATATTCTTAATAAGATTGATCTAAAATGTGCCCCTCAATCCTAAAGAGGTAGTGGATGTAAGAAAACCTAAACAAAAACAGCATGTTTTGTCAAGTCAAAGTTACTATCTTGACATACTTCAGGTAGGCTGAGTTTGAGGTATGCACCATGTGGATTTTATTATTAGTTTTTGACTGGGGTGGGGTGGGAGGAATGCTATACTCCTGGGTTAAGAACTTATTTCTAGGACTCCTCTGGTCCTGAGTGTGTCTGTATATTGGCTTTAGATGGCTACAGAGCTGACATGAAGGACAGCGGAAGGACTGACAGGGGCCTTTTAAAATTGCAGTGAAAACATACACTCCAAAACATTCACGGATTTTCTTATGTCTGCTGTTATGAGGTTAGGGGAGGTAGGACGATTCGAATCAAGTGAATAGCGCTGGCAATGCCACGTAACACCATTCTTAAACTGCCACACATAAAAGAATTCTAGTATTCTTTAAAATTGGAATTTCTGTTATTTATTAAAAAGTATGGTTTTATTCTGATATGGAGAAACTTAATACAGAAAAAAAATAAATGATTAGCTGAGTCACATACCACAGCCGAAGCAGCACAGCGAAAAAGCCAGTGTGGAAATCTGAGCTCCAATTCTAGCTCTGCCCACTGACTTAACAGTGTGCCTCACGCAAACCACACATTACCTGGCCCTCAGCTTTATCGTCTCCAGAATAAAGGGCAGGGGCAGCATTGGTGACCCTCCGTGCAGGGGTCGGGAGTACTGGAATCCAGAGTGTGTGTGAACATAGTTCAAACATAGTTTGAAGTCTCTGCCACTGAAATTTCACAAACTTTGAAGACATAATATTTTTTATATCTACTGATATGAGGAAAATAATGTAGAAGCTCTTGCCTAGACAATATTTCAGGCAGCGCCCCCCTCAAGTGTAATGCTCTCACGAAGAGCTTATTAAATAAGCCTCATCTTAGGCCCAGTGAATCAAAACCTCTGGGGCCAGGCCCAAGATGTGCATTTTTAACAAGCCACCAGTGACTGTAATTTAACTACACTAATACCCCACAACATCTGCTCTAAGGACTCGCCCAGCTCTAAGATCCCAGGATTTTTCGGTCCTTGGTGCATTGCTTAGTTCTCCGAGCCTCACCACTGCTGGATGTACGCATTACCCACACAATTTATACCACCTACAGTGCTCTGTAGTTTATAATGTTCCTTCACTCACAGGCAGGTTCTTACCTAGAAACACAATCACTGATTAGCCCGGGAACTATACTCTGCCTCCTTATGAGGCCCTGGGTGGCTAAGAGCTCTCACTCAGCAGCTTTCCCATTCCAGCAGCCAGGCCCCAGCAGGCGGCAGCAATGAATCAAAGGAGCCCTGGTCCCGCAGGCGCCAGCCTGCCTCCCACACCTTCTGCAGTTGGCTTCACTAAAAAGACCCGTGTGAATGAGTAAGCATGAAGGCCTGAAGCAGCCAGGTAATAACGCACGTCTGCCACCTGCTACTTCAAATTACATTTAAAAAATGAGACACTCTTCATAAACGCCTTTCTAATCGAATGGCATTCACAGGTGGAAAATGATAGGTTGGGTGCAAATAATTTTCAGTGTTAGTGCCAAGAATGACATCTTTGTAAAATCCCAAAGAATGGGTTACTGTGTGACTGGCTAAGACCCCGTGCACAAATGATCACACGGCTGTGGATACACGGCAGTGGGTCCAACCGTGAACAGAGCAATCACCGGTGGCTTCTGGGTCACCCCATAGAGGCTCTCTTGACTTTAAGTCCAGTGTGCCCCTTTATAGTCTAGGTGCAGAAAATAGAAAGCCTAAAAAGGCTTAAACACAAACTATTCAGAAATTATAAGTGTGCAAATTTAGTTGCTTTCATGTGTATTCTACCCGTGTTCTGGTAATACAGTATAATAAAGTAATGGAGTATTTTTTATATATAAAGATGTCACCCCTCCCTCCCCCAGCCATGATAAGAATGGAATGAGATATTCCCAGCCTCTCAATTTGTGACATAGCAACATGGAATTAGGGTCACAATATCTAGCCACGGTACAGAATTTTTTTGGGAGGAGTACGGGGTGGGGGGTGGAAGAGGCAAATGTCCTGGGTCTTTATAGTGTTACAAACTGTAACCTAAGACGAAATGAATTACTCTAACCAAATGAATTAACTTGGCAAGGGGGTAGGAACAAGCAGAGAAAGTAGTAGTAACAACAGGGAAAAACAAGATCAGAAAATTGCTAAAGGGAAGAAGACACAGGCAGACAACAGTGAGATCATGGCATTCCTCTGCCTAAAAATTTTAATGACTTTCCCTTAGCCCAAGAGGTTAAATTCCAAACTCCTTTACAGGTATCCATCCAGGTCAATTTTTCCCTTTGGCCTCATCTTTCCCTACTCCCCCTTACCAAACCCATTGCCATCGAGTCGATTCCAACTCACAGCAACCATACTTCTAGTTCTTCCCAAATACAGTCCCCTTTCCTCAAATCTGAACTCCTCATTCTTTAAGATTGGGCTCAAATGTCACCTTCTCACAGCAACTTTCCTTAACAGCCCCACCCCTTAGATTTACATTTCACACTGCACATACTTCAAAGATCGTCCTTAGTACATTGTATTATAATCCTTTAATTTACATAAGTTAAACATCTTTCCCATTAAACCATGTGTTTCTAAAGGACATGGGGAGACACCTTATTCACTTCTGTAACCGCAGACCATTACAGTGCCTGCCTGGCATATTAGAGTCTCAGCACACTTAGGCTGAATGAACAGGATAAACAGGATGAGGTTAAGAGCAGACAAGGGACAGCTCAACAACAAAAAGACAAAGCACCCATTACAAAATGGGCAAAGGACTTGAATAGACATTTCTTCAAAGAAGATATGCAAGTGGGCAATAAGCATATGAAAAGACGTTCAACATCATTAGTCATTAGGGAAATACTAATCAAAACTATAATGAGATACCATTTCATATCCACTAGGATGGCTATTACCAAAAGTCAGAAAATAAACAGTGTGGTGAGGATGTGGAGAAATTAGAACCCTCGTCCATAGTTGATAGGAATGTAAAATGCTACAGCTGCCATGGAAAATGGTTTGCTGGTTCCTCAAACAGTTAAACATAGAACTACCATAGGCCCAGCAATTCCACTGTTGGGTATATATCCAAAAGACTTGATTGAAAGCAGGGACTCAAACAGTTACTTGTACACCAATGTTCACTGCAGCATTATTCACAACAGCCAAAAGATGGAAACAACTCAAGTGCCCATCAACAGATGAATGGATAAACAAAATATAGTATATACAATGATACATTATTCAACCATAAAAAA